AAGTTACGGACAGTATTCTCACCATCATTCAACTAACAGAGAATCTCATATCGACGGTCGACAGTGACAGCGGCTTTTGCTATAACAATGGCAGTCTGTTCGTATGTTTTGTACTACCTGGGGACTCGATAAAGAGAACTTCGCTAAGAAAACTTCCATTTAATTTATATTTTAAAGATCTGGTGATATTTGTCATATTTTCTTTCCTCTGTATTTATTTAAAGTCTCTTAAGGTGTCATTACAACATCCTAATCTAACTTAACTGTTCTCCGGTGCGCCGTAACGTCATCAAACGTCGCCATTTTTCGTGTATTGTATTTATCACTTTCCCATTTCGAATGATCGGGAAAATGCCAAAAATTAACCAAATGCCTTGAAATTTTCAAAAAGAAGACAGAATTGTTTAAGGAATCTAATTAGGACAATTTTCATCCTAATCTTATGTATTGATAACTTTTATTACGAAATAATACTTGTATATTCTCTAATAAAACCTTGCTATTTTTACCGTGCGCCGTAGGACCGTACCCTGTGCATATTCAAGCAGAATAAAATCTTTATTTTTGCATCTATATAATCAAAATCATTATGATACACTTAAATATGATGAATAAACATTTACTGAAAATTTCAGCTCAGTGCGCCCATTACTTTTTGAGAAAAGCGCTTTGTCCACGATTTTATGGGACAACCCTCGTATATACAGGATATCTATGAGGCTTCAAATAGAGGTGATAGGTTGTAGAATAATTTATCATAGAGTCAAATGCTGCCTGACGTTTTTCATACCAATTGTTAGTCCATTATTTATACACTGAATTTATTACGGATTTTTCCGTTATTTCACGATCATGACAATGAACACACGGCGGGTGTGACCGGTCAGCAGAGGATGCTCACTCCTCCATTGCACCGTGTTTACTCTGCTCTTGTTTTGTATTGTTTTATGGACTTTGAGATTGAATACTGTTCGTTATCCCCATATCCTTCATCGAAAGAGCAATTAAAAGTCCCTTGGTCCTATTGTTTTTCTATAACATATATATTGATTGACTTGTATTGTGAATTAGGTGTGGAAGGAAATTGAAACCTAAATACCATTCAAGTATCGTGGTACATCATTGTATTAGTATAATGTTATTGAACAAATGACTCATACAAAAGGTTACTACAGGATTTTTTTCCGATATTGTGCCAAGGGTTGGGATATTAAATCCTAGCTTCAAGACGTGGGATATTTAATCCTATATTTCTTCATTTAGTTGGAGTTTTTGTCTTATGGGAGAAATAATCCCATTTCTGCAACAACCATGGGATTTTTTTCCCCACATGGGAAAAATTGTCCCACAGTATTACTGTAAAACGAGAAAATTTGCCGCATACGTATTTTAGCGCAAACGCAAGTGGGAATGCATTGGCGCAAATAAATTTTAGCGCTTGCACCTGTCAGTTATATATATAAATGCGATATTTTGTTTTTTTATCCACACCCGTATATGACTTTTTGGTTAGTCAAGCACGGAAACACATTAGTACTCCCGTATATCAGTAAACATTCGTTAACTTTGCCGCCGTACGTGTTGATATCACATGGACGTGGCACAATGTTTAAATTTATTTTATTTCTATTTTCAATTAAAAGAAATGGAGTATTTACTCATTTTAATCATATCAAAACAATGCATCCATCGACAGGAAATTACTTAGATAAAACGGTAATCCTAATATCAGGTATTGTCTGCACGCTCAGTCGCCATGCTTGATTGCATTGTTTACCTCGAGGCGATAGATGATTGACACGCCGAGAAGCCAAATTTTGAAGGTGCTAATGATAATAATCGGGTAACAACTACTGGAGTAACAATAGTTTAATTAAATTATAATTTGGCGAGTTGTGGTTATTGCTTTTTATATTCTTAGAGAATACTATTATACGCGAGAATTAAATTTTCGCGAGCACATGTGCAGTGCGAATAAAAAGTGATTTACAGTAAATTATGAGTGTGTATAGTGTGTATAAAATCCAATGACCTTCGACATTACGTAATCGTGCGTTCCGGTTTACATGTACTTATGTAAAAGCTTTGAACACACACAAAAAAAATGATATTACGCACAATAAATTTTAGCGCTCAGGGGCTCTTGCGCCAAAGCCGCTAAAATTAGAAGTACGCCAAATGTTCTCGTTTTACAGTATTTCTCCCGTGGGATTTTGGTGGGATTTCAAGTGGGATGACCCCCCCCCCCATTCTCCCATGGGATTTTAATTCGGGGGAAGTTTATAAGAAAACTAAAACATTGTGGATGTTGAGGTTGACATGTTGAGATGAGAAGAAAAAATCCCTCCAAACTTAGGAAAATTTTTAAATTATGTCTTTCCGAAAGGGTACCTACAAGTCCGGACATTGTTTGAAAAGATATGAGAAACAGATATGCTGATGCAATACGATTTCTAATAATATAACAGACAAGTGGTCAGAAAAAAAAAAAGTACAACATGTGCATTTCAAAAAAAATGTTTGAATTTGGAATGAAAAGTAAGAAACTCTGTTATTTCGTAATTCATTCTTAATATTTACATAGTATATATTTAGACTTTTTGTATATTTAATAGTAATTAAAATATATCAAATCTGTATCATAAATGTGCAGTTTATAGCTGATGGAGCTGTAGCTGACTTACCATTATTTTTTTTCAGTTGACTAAAATTCAAATGTAATTAAATTTTTGATTGCATGTTAATTTTGATATTTTTAACTTATTTAACAAGAGGCCCACGGGCCTTATAGGTCACCTGAGTATCGTGTAACAACTTTCAAACAATTAAAATTCAAATTCGTGTTTACCCCAGAGGCCATGAAATTCACAATTCAAAACTTTGAAAGAGGCACCATTGCTTATCATAAGTATAAACTTACCATGCTTACTCTATTTACTTAATACCCAGAGGTAGATCAGAGTAACAAAGACAAAATGCACTTCCACTTTCTAACCACTGACCCTGGGGCCACATATTTCAAAATTTTGCAGATTTTATCATAAAATGGTTGATTAATACTGAAGAACAGATTTCAAAGCATTAATTTATTTTCAGACTATATACCCCCCCCCCCCCCCGAGCCAGGGGGCATAAAAAATAACCATTTTGCTAGATGCACCTTTCTTCATCATAAATATATATATACTTGGATCATTGGCATATAACCCAGGAGCAAAGGAATTTTTTTTAAAGAATTAACGCATTTTTCACTATATAATCAATAGAGTCCCACCCTAATACCAGAACCCCTGACCCTGGGGCCATAAAATTTTGAAAGTGGCACTCCTGCTCATCATAACTATGTACTTAGTTAGTTTATTTATTACCCAGAAGCACAGAAGAATATTTTTAAAGAATAAATGCATTTTCACCATATAATCAATAGAGCCCCGCCCTAAGACCAGAACCCCTGACCCTTGGGCCATGAAATTCACAATTTTGGAAGTGGCACTTTTGCTCATCATAACTATGTACTTAGTTAGTTTATTTAATACTCAGAAGCAGAGAAGAAGATTTTCAAAGAATAAATGCATTTTCACTATATGATCAATAGTGCTCCGCCCTAAGACCAGAACCCCTGATCCTGGGGCCATAAAATTCACAATTTTGGAAGAGGCACTCTTGCTCAACATAACTATATACTTATTTAGTTTACTTAATACCCAGGAGCAGAGAAGAAGATTTTCAAAGAAATAATGCATTTTCACTATATAATCTATATAGCCCCGCCCTAGAACAAGAACCCCTTACCCTGGGGCCATGAATTTCACAATTTTGGGAGAGGACTCAATGCTCATTACATTCAAGCCAACAATTTGCCTACTTAATGTCCAGGAGTAAAGAAGAAGATTTTTAAAGATTGCACTAATTTTAGTGGTTTTGGCCCCACCTCTCAGGCCCCAGGGGGGCAGGTAGCATGAAATTCACAATTGTTGTTTCCCTTCTCCCATAGATGCTATGTGCCAAATTTGGTTGAAATTGGTTGAGTGGTTGCAGAGTAGAAGCTGAAAATGTTTAAATGTTAACGCACGGCGCACGACGGACGACTCACGACGCACGACGACGGACAACAACTGAAAGCAATAGGTCACCTGAGTTTACTCAGGTGACCTAAAAATTTTATTTCATTCATGTAGAGATGTCTTGTTTTATTAAATCTATTGCCATAATTTTTTTACCTGTACATTGTAGTAAATAGCCCAATTATGTTTATCATGAGCTTAAAGGGTAACAACGTCAAGAATACTTCCTGAAGTGCACTCTTCCTCTTGTTTTTTACATTGTATATTCTTTGGAGAAAAATAACCATTGTTATAGACGTATCTCTCTTAATAACCCTTTGAAACTTTGCTTTTTTTGCAATGGATATCATTAATAGGATTCTTTTTATGACGACATTGTCTAACTTAAGCAAATTTATATCAACAGAGCAATTAGGAGTCTGCTCCAATACAACTTTAGGGTACGTATGTTTTTTAAGTATGGATTTTTTAGGCAAACAGTATAATTTTTTTTTATCGGAAAAAGAAGAAGAAACATCACTTTTTCATGCAACAGAAATATGTGTTTGAACTTTTATTTAGAGGTCCTCTCACCTGTTGTGAAAATTACCTTAAAGTTGGCGACAGATGTCAAGGTAGGTATGACTATAAAATGTTTGATTTTATTATTAAACCTTTCAAAATGGTATCGGGCTTTAACTTTGCATTGCTTTATAGTTTGCAATCCCAGTACCATTGCATCTGGTAATTGCAATATTTTTTTTAAAAAATCATGGAGCTAGGTGTAAATAACAACAAAGCTTGCAAAAAATGTACTGTCATTGATAGGAAACACACACAAAAAAATATATAACGAAATGAAAGATAAGATTTTTCATTTTCTTTTTATTTTTATCATGCTGATCATCATAAAAATATGATTCTCTTGAAAGAATGCTTGGCAGGAACGTTTGGTACAAATTGCAACCAGACTTGTCCAGAAAACTTTTATGGAAGATTTTGTAATGAAGTGTGTGATTGCAAGGATTGTGACAAGAGTTTTGGTTGCCATAAAGGTAACATTTGCAAACAGTTTCAAATGCGGCATTTCTATTTTGTTTTTTCCCTCATAAATGTATTTTTCATAGTTTCTGATAAAATAGATTATTTCTTTATTTTTTTAGATACATTAGAACAACAAGCTGTACAGATTTGTATAAAAATCATCATTTTATCCACAATCGGCAATATTATCATCTGTGTTACATGTGCAATCTTCGTTTATTGTAAATTTTGGTGAGTTATTAACCTTTTGATTAAACTATTATTTGTCTCTAAGGAACTGTCTTTTTCTATCTACATGTATGTACGCGGGTGTTAATATCAAAGGAAGAGATATTGCATGCAGTATATGATGATAAAAAAACTAAGAAACTTAATAAATTGCCTTTTATTTTTACAGGAAACATAACACATTAAATGCACCAGAGAAGTCTCAAAATAAAGGTAAAAGATATACTTGATCAAGTAATTAGTTTTCGGAGAATGGACTTTACTAACTGGAAAATTTTAAAGGGATAAAGTTAAATATTCTAGAAAATAAGGCGGAAGATTTTTATATGTTTATTTTTGCACGACTATATGCACCACAACATAAGATCAGGATTTTAGTTGTTCATATCAATATTCCAAACATGAAAACTCTAAAAATTAAAAAGAACTCCATTTATATATAAAAACTGGTAAAAATAGTTCAATACTTCCACTTTCTCATATTAATATCGTATTCGTCTGCATTTCAATCTCTTAAGGACATACTCAACGTACCTTATCTTCCGATAATTTTTCAAGACATTCTTAATTTAAGATTTTAGTATGATCAGATGCTCATAGACAAAAATTCAGCTTGTATTACCAGGAGTTTTTGAAAGATACCAATTGATGAAAAATTTTGGATGATTTAAAGAAAAATATATGAAAATTACTAGGTATATTTTTTAGATGTTACTTTTACTTTAGACGTGTACTTGTTTCAGAAGAAGCGTTTAACACCATATATAGACATTTAAATATAGCACATAGTCATTTCAAGTATCGGAAGTCTTCAATTAAAAAAAAAAGAACAAAAAAGTTCAAACTACCTTGTGTATGTCCTCAAACAATTTTTTCGTTCTTTGGAAAACAATTAGATATAATAAATTGTTTTATATATGCGTATTTAAGAAAAAAATAGTAAGTATGCATAATCTAGCATAATTAGCATCTTTTTCATGGCTAAACATTTTTAAGAGGTAAAAAAATAGTCTTACATGTACATAGAAATAAATTGTTTACTTTCCTTTACAGGGTCAGAATTTACTGGAGAGAATACTGTCAATCAATGTTTGAGTACTAGCACCAGCAATAAACTAGGAGAGCATAATCACTATAGGGACACACAAGAATGTACAGAATCAATTGCGATAAACATTCAGGAAAATAGACCCGCATTCTGCAACCATACAAAGCAACAAACTGCAAATGAACAAAATGCTTTATCACTGTACACAGCTGAGGATGTTTATGTATCTTTATACGAGGAAATAGAACAATATAACGTTTTATCATTAAAACACAAATATTAGACATGGCGATATATTTAAGAATTTCCAAAATCATCTTTGTACCGTGTAACGGAAATAAAACCTTCAAACTTTAGAAAACTGTGAACGCATATAAAAAAAATAATAACCTTTAGAAATTTCAAAAATAGGATCAGGTGCAAAAGAAAATTACAAAAAATACAGATAATGATAAAAAACGAACTCAAATAAAACCTGTAAACTTTTAATGCTTGAAAACGGGATATAAATCACGGTATCTAGATATTTTATCATCAGATAGCATCAGTTTTCGAGGAGAAGAAATCATTCTCTATTGACATCCCAAGCCAGTTGTAATTATAAGCCCAATATATTGATTAAAATTAATCAGAACATTTTGCTATTGTTTAGCACAAAACAAATGTTGTACCCAATGTTGTTTTTTAATTGTTAGTAGGGTCATTTACTACCATAGATTTTACGAAATACTGATTTGAAAATAAAGATGATGAAATTCCTTCAACATTAACTTGCGAAGGACGATCAAAAAGTTCGCGAACTATCTCTATATCTACAAAACAACATTGCAGATAAGAAAAAAAAACATTGGTACACACATAGCCAGACACAAGTTCTATAAAAAGCACTTGCTGAATACAGTTTTGCTCCTTGGTTGTGACGTAACAATGTGAAAATGACGTCACTATGTATGTCACCTGTGACGAAAAATGCTTGTCTCACTTGTATACGTTTAACAAACGACTGTTGAATTTATGATATATCTTAGAAATGCCTTTGTAGTAGCGCATAATAATTTGTAAAGTTTAATAAGATAATGTACTTCCTATAAATTCAATCAATGAATGGATTGGTCGTTTGAGTGAAGTAAGGCAGATAATTAAAAATAATATTTGTTTTGTTGCCCAATGAAAGCAAGTTTGAAAAGAAATGTGTTTTTAATAAAGCAATTTGCTATCAAAGACCTCCAATTTACATTTTAAAAAAAATAAATATTTCAGCAATAATATAATTATTAAATACCTAAGCTATTGTTTACTTTAGATTTTAAACATATTAGATATGATAAAAAGGAGACATTCATGTTCTATCTACTTTGAAGAAACGTCTCTCCATCGACAGAAGATTTGGGTTTTGATGGTCGCCATAATTATTTTTGGAAAGGAATATCTTATCCACCCATTCTGATCCGAGATTTGACCACTTCTGACAAATGAACTGTTGTTACAAAAACTAACTTACATGGAAAGAAATATAAAACTCAAAAAAATCTTTCAGCGCTTGTGACAGAACGCTACGGAGGGGGTCACGTGACCGCTTATACCATGTGATTAGCGCATGAGCAGGACGCTTGCAGATGATGTGCATTAAAGAGAGAGGACTTATGAAAAATGTAATCAACACTTAAATCAAATATTTAATTTGTTTCTTTTATGGAAGTTATTCAGTTTGTTTGCGAACTTTTTGATCACCCCTCGTATACGTCAAGGCAATTTGAAAACTGTTCGTACGCAGAGAATTCTCTTGAGAATCGAGTACATGAATGTTGAGAATCGTAGTAAACATCTTAATAATGCAAATAACTTTAAACATTGCTATTTGAGAAGGGAAGTCGATTGTGACATTAGCTGACATCATTTTATTGTCATAAAATTAAATTGTTAGTTACCCGGCACTTGCAACTAATCTTTAGTCAACAAACAACAATTTTTAGAATATTAATTGTATTTATGTATTGAATGCGATAACTTAGTTGGAGGTTTCCGGTAGGATTAATTTTGGTAAAATATAAAAATTCTTAGATCCACGCCTTGGTTGATGGATTACGTGTGATAGAAGGTGTAAGGTCACGTGGTCAGCTCAGCGATTCATTCAGTTGTATTGTGATAACCCGCCTGCTGACCACGCTAAAATTAGAGGCACGTCTATTTTGAAGATTTGTTACAACGTCTGTGATTGTTTAACTTAGCTGAACGTGCCCTGGCTTTCTGTCGAGATGAAATTCCAAAGAATTGAAAGGAACAAAGTATTGTTCGTGTTGTAAAGTGCCATTTACAAGAACGGGTGGATTTTCTGGTTTATTGTTTACTGATGCGGTGGTACATAATATGTGCGCGGGTTATCAAATATATTACCTGATACATTTGGTGTATTTTTCTGCCGATATGAACTTTATTTATAAGCAGATATTCATGAGAAGAACATATTTCATGGAGCTATTTTATTGCGACATCAAACGTGTAACTTTTTCCTATAGTCTGAATTTTGAAAGGATTTCAAAGTAAGCTTTTTGTTACTGGTTGAACGAAACAAATAGATACCTTTAATGATTACTATCTCTATATCGATCTCCATGATCAGTGGACACAGAGTTTGATCAACAAAAGTTGTGATAGATAACGAACATCCTGCAAGTATCTGCTGCAAGCATCGCTATTTCACAGCTGGGGCCACAGCGGGAGACCCTGAACCTCAACGACTTGGGCGTTTTAGGTCCAGCCGGCGTACACCTGTGCTGCTTCACCGCGTGCATAAGAGAGTTTGCCTTCCCATGTAATTAAGGACGAAGGCCAGTATTATGTTTACTTTATATTTGATTTACAATTATACATAACGCGCTTGGGGGTTCCAAATAGTTTTTTGTGTATAAGTTATCACTTTCAATTATTCAAAGGCATTGTTTAATGCTCAAATCATGTATACTCTATGGTGTAAGCTTTTAAGTTAGCAACTTTATGCAAAGTTATTTAGTTTTATTGAACTACAATGAGAATTTCAATTACCTATCATAGTTTGCATATTTCATGTTTTTGCATTCAACATGATGTAAAACAGCTAGGCAGCATTGTTAAAACACTGCCCCTTCCTTAACAGGCATCTAATAGGTAATGCCAGCTATCTTTTAAGGTTAGTTGAGAAATGTGTATTGTAATCATGTAAATAAATGTACCAATATCTCATTTTCACTCTTTAGAGTTTAAGGGTTGTGGACTGAGCTTTATATACATAGTGCAGATAGTTACTATACTTTGGTGCTTCTTGAATTGCTCCTTATTGTTTGATCAGTTTTGGTACAAAGTTTATATGTAACATTTCATGTTTTGTATATTGATAAATATTGAATGGATATTGTACAAAGTCTAGGTAGTCAAGGTATATATACTAATTTGGTTGGTGTAGACAATATTAACATGATTACTCAAGATGTTTATCATTTCGGTGGATAATTTATGTACTTATTGGGTTGGTGTTGTTAACGGTTTAAACTGTTGATACAAAGTTGATAGTTACAAATTGAATCGGTGTTACTCAAGTGGTTGATTATTTTAGTACATTGTACAAAGTTAATAATTATGTACTAATGGGATCAGTATTACTCTTTCAAGTTTATTCAAGTTTATTGTTTTGATAAAAAGTTGATAAGTAGCTATTTGATCAGTGTTGCTTAAGTTGTTTATTGTTTTGGTACAAGGTTTTACCTATTGGGTCAAAGTTACCCATAGTGTTTATTGGTATGGTACACAGTAGATATGTACTTATTGGGTCAGAGTTACCCATGTTGTTTGGTACACAGTAGTTATTTACTTATTGGATCACAGTTACCTTTGTTGTTTATTGTTTGGTACACAGTAGATTTGTACATGGTCATGTTGGGTCAGTATACCCATATTGTTATGGTGCACAATATTTGTACCTATGGGTCAGTATACCCATATTGTTTTGGTACACAATATTTGTACCTGTGGGTCGGTATACCCACACTGTTTTGGTACACAATATTTGTACCTGTGGGTCGGTATACCCACATTGTTTTGGTACACAGTAGATTGTACCTGTGGGTCGGTATACCCACACTGTTTTGGTACACAATATTTGTACCTGTGGGTCGGTATACCCACATTGTTTTGGTACACAG